GCGATATTTCTCCCGTATATTAGTTCGATTCGATGCAATTGACTCGTATGCGAGAATAAAAAGAAAAAGTGGAAGAAGAGAAAAATAGGAAGAAAGGAACAAGGATAAAGATATATATCCAGAGTTGAACAATCTCGCGTTCTATAAGGGTGGCATAAACTTTATTATACGACACGAGAGAAGAAGAAAAAGGTAGAGACAGAGATAGCAAGTTTATTGCATTTTCGTGTAAAGACTTAAACGAAATTATATTCTCTCGGGTAAAATTTATTATGTCTCGACGAATAACTTGTTAATAATTAACTGCTTGTTGCTCGTCAGAGAAAGAGAGAAAGAGAGACTGTCTATATGAAAAGTTTTTCAATGTCGTTTACCATTCTTCTTTTTTTTTTTTAATGAAGAAAAAAGGGATAAATTTTTATCAAACGAAAAATTACATCGAAGAAATACGTTAAGCTAAGAAGAGTTACACGCGACGAGTCTTAATTTAAAGGCAAAGATTTAAGAAGGTAGTGATACTAATGGTGAAAGGGTAGGAGGAATTATTTCTAAGTTTCTTGAAATTTTTCCGTTTCTCTATCTTTTTCTTTCTAGTCGAAAGGACAAGAGTGTGAGAAAGAGAGAGAGAGAGAGACGAGGGAGAGTGGGAATGGGAAGTATCAACGTTGAGTACGAGAACGAGCTACCCTCTAATTCTTGGGAACTTGTAACGAGTTATAAATGTCGGACGCGCGTGCCTTTAATATCGTATAATGGTGCCAGGATATATAGTAGCAGTTTTCATTGCTGTTGCTGGTGGTGGTGATAGCGATGCTAGTGGTGGTGATGGTAGTAGTTGTGGGTCTCTTTATAAAAAAAAAAAGAATAAATAAAAGGATCAAAGAAAAAGCATACTAAACGGTCCATTCTTTTTTGTTCGTATTTTAAAAATAATCAATAAATAAAAATTGTTTTTAACAGCTACAAAGAAAAAATGATTGACTTCGACGTGAAAATGCGTAAAAGATATAAAAAAAAATATGTATATATATATATATATATGTATATAAAGAAAGTGAAAAGAGGACAAAGTAAAAGACGAACATTGACATGGTGTGTCTGTTGTAACCTCATCGATTTTCTTTCCTCGTTCAACCTGTTTTCTTCATCGAAAGACGGGTTTGTCTCGTCGTCGAACTTACCTTGGTTTCTCTCTCGATAGTCAAGGAACTTCCACTCGATCGGTCGATTATATTTCCGGTATGGATAAAAAGAAACGTAGACAGAGATAAAGAGAAAGAGAATGAGTACGACAGAACTTACAAATTCCTAACTAGTACTATATTTCCAAGAGTTATATATCCACGAATAACAATTATTTTGTTCTATATATAGCCAAAATGTAATCCACTCGCGTGCGTTACGTCGAATTATCTACTTGCAATGGACGTCGGAGGGTTTTATTGTTCGAGGAAAATAAAAAAAACGAATTTGTAGTTTATATCAACGACTCGAGTTTTGGTTAACAAGCGAAGTAATAACGCTAACGCATTATTTGTTTATAATCGAATGAATGGGTAAAGGTGAAGAAGAGAAAGAGAGGGAGGGGGAGGGGGAGGGGTAGAGGAAGACAGAAAAGCCGTAATGAGCTGTCGTTAGCAGGAAACGTTGTTGAAATTTCTCTTTCTGAAGGTTTTCAAGATCCCTCATTAATTTCACTGGGCTTTATTCATATTATAATTGATTTCGTTGGATACCTTTTCCTAGCCGGCTTTTGTTCCGACTCGTCGTTCCTTTTGCGCGATCAAGCACCGAGAATCGTTACTTTTTCGTTTTCTCTTCTTGTCTCTTATTTTTCGCGTTAATACGCGATTTAACAAAGAAGATCTTTTATTTTTAGAATTATTGTTATCATTGAAGGAAGTGAAAAAAATTCTTTGCGAATATTTGCAATAATTTCCTGTTTACGTCGGAAGCCTTTTTTTTGCTCTCTCTCTCTCTCTCTCTCTCTCTCTCTCTCTCTCTCTCTCTCTCTCTCTCTCTCTCTCTCTCTCTCTCTCTCTCTCTCTCTCTCTCTCTCTCTCTCTCTCTCTCTCTCTCTCTCTCTCTCTCTCTCTCTCTCTCTCTCTTTTCTCTGTTTTCCTATTTTTCTTTTTTTTTTTCTTTTTTTTTTCCATAGACCAACGTAATACCGAAGAATATAAACTGAATCGTTATTGGAAATCTATTGAAGCAACATGAAAGAAAGAAGAAGAATGGTCAGCAGTATGGCTCGATCGATATTATTTTCCTCCAACTTCGCGAATAGTTATATCGAAAGGTTTTCGCGTTTTTCCACGATTCTGCTTTCGAATAATGGAAGTAAAAATCGGCTTCCGGCGTCTCACACTCGAGAACTCGAGAACCGTGAAAAGCATAACTTCGGAATCGTGACTCGGTCTGAAAACGTGCGAGAAATTGACGACTGCGGATGGAGAAAAAGAGGAAGGTGAAGGAAAAGTACGTTGTGTTCGTTGGAAAGCTGGATCGGAGCCATCGCTTTGAATCGGATTCGATTTCGAAGGAGTTCAGAAAAGAAGAAAAGTGCGAAAGGTTTCTCTCTTTCTTTCCCTTTCTATCTCTATCTTTCCATTTCGACCGACGAAATTTCGTCCATTTCCGCACTGTCACTTTAGTCTTTGGATTTTCTTTTAGACATAACCATTTTCTTTTATGTTTTTGCTTTTTCAACAAAATTATCTCGTTTCTCCGAATCGTTTGTATTTTTTGTCGAAGGAAAAAAAAGAAAAAAAAAAAAGATTTTTTTGCCGATCTACAAAAAAGAAAAGGTGATCGTCTATCGTGGACGCATAAATGGCAAGAAAGATGTTCGTCTTTTTTTTTTTTTTTTTTTTCTTTTTTCTTTTTTATCTTGATTTTTTTTTCATTTATCCAAGCATTCTCCATCGTATATATTACAATATGTGCAAACACTTTGAAAGTTAACACGAAAACGTTCGCTCCATTACCTTTGTCCTACACGCGATAATCGGTCTCTCCCACTAGCGAGATAGTTGATACACCACGTATATATATATATATATATATATGTATGTTTGTATGTATGTATGTATCTACGTATGTAGGAGTATGTGTGTTAGGGACGTGAGAGACGTGTTTATGGATTAATGCTCAACGAAACGCGAATTTGTGCGAGCGAGCATATGTGTCATACGCGTCACAGAGCTCGTGCCTTCTCTCTCTCTCTCTCTCTCTCTCTCTCTCTCTCTCTCTCTCTTGCACGCGCGAACTCCTCAACGTGTTTTCTTCGCGATTTGTTTCGTCATTTTTGTATCTTTTATCATCTTCCTCCCTTAAGCTCTCTTCCTCTCCTATACAAAATCCCTTAGACTATATAGCGGTAAACAAGATTATAATTTTTTTTCCGTTTAAATTATCGCTTCTATTCGATAAAAATGATTGAGTGAAAGAGGGAGGGGGGAGAAGAGATGAGAGCGAGAGAGAGATGAGAGCGAGATAAAAGGGTGATAAGTAGTTTCCGCTCGATTTGAATCGTCGGAAGTTCTTTCGAGAAAGCGTGAAATTCGTTAGAACGATTCGTGAGTGCTATAGCGTAGAGAGAGAGAGAGAGAGAGAGAGAGAGAGAGAGAGAGAGAGAGAGAGAGAGAGAGAGAGAGAGAAAGAAAGAGAGAACGAGAGAATCGATTTCGAGAGACGAATTCGCCCGGTTTAATCCGACGAGAGTTTAATGGTATTCCCTACGGTGTATACAGCCGAGTCGTTTCTCGCTTTACAGCGTAAGAGAAGCAATTGCTTGCACATACATCGAATATATACGCTTTCACGTTTAGTTTCCTGCTGATATATTTCTTTCTTTCTTTCTTTCCCTTTCCCTTTCCCTTTCCCTTTCCTCCCTTTCTCTTAACGTCGAATTGTATTTCGAACGAATTATTTCCTCTTCCTTCCTTCCTTCCTTTCCCTCCTTGATGGTAATTCGAAGATATTGTAGAGGTAGTTGATTTAAACATTTTTTGTTCCTTTGTTTGTTGTTTTTCTTTGGTTTTTTTTTTTTTTTTGTTCTTTTTTTCTCTTTATACATTCATTCATTCATTCACCCTCGCGAACGGCGCCCGACATAAATTTTGCACGTTCGAGGTGAATGAATCGACTATGAAATTCGATAAGTAAACCATGAGAGAACGTGTCTTAGGGAAAATAAAACGTGGGTGAAATTTTGATTGGGAAGGGCGAACTTCTTAAAAATAATTTCGTCGAATTAGAAAATTTTATAAATGATATAATCAAGGGAACCGATTATATCTGACATAATTATGAAAATGAATATAATTTATATTTAAGGATAGAAGGATAAAGAGAAATATTTATTTAATCAATTGCAAGTAATGGGGATCGTTAATTTAATCAATCATCTATTAGGAAAAAATTTAATTTCGATTCGTCGGAAATATATTTTAATCGAAATGAAAATCGATTGGTCCGATTATAAGTAGAAACGCCGTTCTCTCTTTATGAAGCTGTCGTCTTTAACGGGTTTGGTAACGCACGCTCCTTGCCCCGGATAATGCAGTTACATGCTTCATGCCAAATCAGGCGTATCGTGCTTCGTGGCCCTCGGTTCTTTCCAGGTTATCGCGCGATATCCGTCCTGCAGATTTTACGACAACGACGACGGTTACGATTAGAACTATACTATGTCCGCTCGTAATATTCATATTTTACAACGAAATTAAAAAAACCCACGTACGCCTTCCCTCCAAACACTTTTCATTAATCTTATCTCTTCTCTCGTAACAATTAATCGCTTTTGTACTTTAAACTAGAGTACACTCGACGATTTAATTCAATTTCATAAGCAGAAACAAATCTATCGTCTTACAAATGAAAAACACTTTCCGTCACGAAAACAAAAAAAAAAAAGAAACAAGAATTGTAACTGAGAAAGACAAAGAGAGAGAGAGAGAGAGAGAAAGACTTTAAAATTAAATTCATTTTGTTTACAGGATACTACTTCATCGTCTAGTCGATTAATAGGAATAGAGAGAAAAAGAGAGAACTTGGCCGACGGCGAAGGTGATGCTCCAGGTGAGCGGATACAACGAGCCCTGGGCGGCCCTTTTTTCTTCTTCTCATTCTTCTTCTTCTTCTTTTCCTCCTCCTCCTCCTCCTCCTTCCCTTAGCTCTTCCTATTACCTTTCTCCCTCTTTTTCTATCTCCTTTCTCTGTGAACGTTATCGAGAAAGAAGAAGAACCATAGTCATCGCCGTTGCGTCGAGTCGAAGTGAAGAAGAAAAACGAGTAATAGTAACGTCCTCGTCGTTGTCGTCGTCATTCTCATCGAGAAAGAAAAGTCGAAGGACGACGAGTAGAACGAAGAAAAGGTTCGAAACTAGTAAAGGTAATAAAGGAAGAGGAAGATACGAAGAAGAAGAAGAAGAGAAAGAAGGAAAGAGCGCCTCGTCGAAAACGGCGCTCTTGTTACGGCGGCGATAGGAGAGAGAGTTATGGTGGCTCGCACATGCAATGACTGTGGCCGCAGCCGTGGCACTGTGGCATCGTGCCAACCTCTACAAGGCGATGGCCTGCGTCGTCCTCGCGCTCATTGCTGTTCAGTATCTTCTAAGCGGAGTATTGGATCGTCGATCCATCGAGACCATATTCACCATTAATGCTACGAGGTTAGACATTAAGATTATTCTTCTTATCCTTTTAATTCTAATTTTAGATCAACGCTATTAGATTAACGCTCGAGATTATTTGCTTATTTTCATTGATAGTGAAAAGTTGTCGTAAACTTTACCTGCCATCCCTTCGAGATTTCTTTTTTTTTTTTTTTTTTTTTTTTTTTTCTTTCATTCTTTTTCTTTTTTGAGATTCCTCTCTTTCGTACATACTCCATGGCCATATGTGCTCGGATTCTTCGGTTAGAGCTTTAATATGCAACGTGTTCTTTTTTTAGAATCTGACCTTTAAAGGGAGAGTAAAATAAGGTCGTTAACGTGCGTTGTAATTTCTTTTGGAGACTGATGACACGCTGACCCAGTTTGTTTCTTCAAGAACTAGCGATTGGGAAAATCGTTTGAAAATTCTTTATCGTTGATGAATTGGAGAGATTAAATGGAACGAAGATCGTTTCGTTTAATTTGATATGCTTGAAGTATGGGGAATGAAGAATAGAAAAAGTATCGATGGACGACGTATTAAATAATCCACAACTGGAATTATCAAGCCGCGTATCGCTTAACCCGAAGCAATCGAGTGTGTAGGGACCTTTCCGTTAGACCGATTCTCCTTCCTTTGAGCATCGCAGACAACCGTGAAATCTCATTATTAGGCCAGTAACGAGCCGAAGTAGGCTGGTAACGTTGAAAACTATTACTATTACTACTACTACTGATATTACTACGTAAGAGATGTTACGTTTACAAACGTCTATCTATTTATCGCCCATACGACAAACCATTCTTCAATGTGTTAGAAAGCCAAAGGCGAACATAGAAGTGCAATTTGCGGAGCCAGGTAATAGGAAATAATCAGATCTGCGTTGATAATATCGACTATAACCATTCGCTTCCTTCGCTTATTTTCTACTAATACTCTTATTTTTTTTCTTTCCTTCTCTCTTTTCTCTCCTTTTCTCTCTTTTTTTTCCTCTTTCAAATTTTCTCTCCTGTAAACATAATTTTCATCGAAATCAGAAAATTCGATCGATCGGAGAAACGCAATAGTCGTCGTCGTCGTCGTCGTCGTCGTTGTCGTCGTTGTCGTCGATCAATGCCTAACTTAATCGTGGCTTTCTCGCAAAGAGTAGGTTAATCTTAATCTCGTTATCGTTCCCGTTGACATGACTGTGGTTGTTCTTCGTCATTCTTGTCGGTGTAGCGCTTCGCCCGTAATGAAGGGAAATTTCCTTGGAAATCCATGCTTTATTCAAGCTTACTCTTGTGGACGTAAGGTGTACGTGATCTCATTATTTCGTTAGTGGCCGAGTAGATTGCCTGTTTACAGAGTCGGTTGGCTTAACGATGCTTAAACTTTCAATGGATTCCGCCTGGGCAGACTTTTTCGATCCGTTATACTTGTCTTCCATCCCTCACCCCTTTTTTTTTGTTTTTTTTTTCCTCACTTTTTCTATATTTCTTTTTTTCATTTCTTTTCATCCTCTTTTTCTTTTTCCTCGTTGATTTCATTCCTCGTAGAGAATTTTCTTCATTTCAATTCTTTCTTCTTCTCTCTCTCTCTCTCTCTCTCTCTCTCTCTCTTTCATTTTGTTCTTTTCTCTTTCGTTGTTTTTCAAATATAGAGAAAGAAGAGATTTTTCGTTGTAATAGCCGTATTTATCTTCGCGCTCTTACGTTTATTTTCTCGGTCGATACGTCCATTTATCATCTAATCATCTCTCGCATGGTACTCTCCTCGATAGAAACGTTATTCTGAGTTTCTTTCCTGATAGAAAACGTTAGATCAGAGAGAAAGAGAGATGAGATAAAAGGGGGAAAAAAAAAGTAAAAGAAATTGAGAGATGGTTAGCTTTTATGTTTTTCCTGCGAATAATGTGCGACTTCATGCGTGTTACTAGAGGCTAAGGTCGTTTTCCAAAAAAGAAAGAAAGAAAGAAAGAAAGAAAGAAAGAAAAGAGACAAAAAAAAATACCCAAGGTTCCTTCGTTTCGCCGTAGAAAAATATTTCTCAAAGCCGTGAGAAAACGTCTCTAGAATTTTCTCTCTCTCTCTCTCTCTCTCTCTTTCTATCTCTCTGTTTTAGTCGAAATATAAAAATACGAGAATATATATATATATATATACGTACATATAGGAAACGAGAAAGAAGAATTTTATGTTGATTCGATCACTTAGAGTCGACCGCATCACGACTAATGGAATTTACATTCTAGAATAAAAATAAGAAAAAAGTATTTCTCTCCCTCTCTCTCTCTCTCCTATTTTCTCATTCTATTCGTTATACGTTAAAGTAGTAGATCGATATTAATTTTCTCTAAGAGCAAAATCAATTGGAATACATTATAGTCTTTTAAATTGTGCTAGTAGTGTATCCTCGGTTCGTAAAGAAAAAAAGTTCGTGCTTTCTATTTTCTTCTTTTCTATAATCATATTATTTTACCATTCTCTTCGTTTCTTTTCATTAGAAACCCAAAATACAATGTAAACTCGTGTAATTATTTTTCGATACAATCTTTATAACGCGCAAATGATCAATTTTGTAAATAATTATTTTCGTTCAATGGCACTTTGTTACAAATGCATTTTTCTTCTACCTTCAAATCATTTTTTTTTCCTCCCATTCTTCCCCAATATATTATAATAAAAAGGGAACGGGAACAATAGAACAATTTTTCCAAATTGCCCGATAAAATGCAAACGTTCTCGTTCGTTCGTTCGTTCGTTCGTTCGTTCGTTCGTTCATTCGTTCGTTCTACCGTCGCTATTCGATAAAAACGAAATAACAAAATGTCGAACGTTACGTCGATAATATGATCGGACCGATCGCGTTATCTCGTATTCTGTAATTTCGCACGTTTCACAATCAATCGCTAGAAAACCGTTCGAATATTCTCGGACAGACAGCATGTGCTTATATGTACATATGTATATATGTATTTACGTACGCGTCGATTTCCCGCGTTAATTCGTATTCGAATGCATTCATTCATATTCCTCTGGATAAATTCCATCTCTGTCTTTCTCTCTCTCTCTCTCTCTCTCTTTCTCTCTACCATTCTCTCTGTCTCTGTTCGTCTGTCTGTTCGTCCATCGACCGAACAGAGAGACAAACGACGTTCCTCGTAATTTCTCGAACGTCGCAATTGGAATGTCATTATAATACTAAGCACGTCCGAATCGTGCTTGTCATATTAAATCAATTTATCGTTAATTCGTTCGTTGGACTCTCTCTCTCCTCTCCCTCTCTCTCTCTCTTTCTTTTTTCTTTTTCTCTTTCCTCACCGTTCGTTTATGGCGAGAAAGTCAAAGCCACTCGCGTTATCAGAATCTTACGGTATTCTTTCGTTAAATGCGGGTAATAGAAATTATTATATCCATGGTTTCTCGACTAGTCATCGAATTTAACGATATTGGAACATTTTTGTATACATCATGGATAAACATAGATTTATTCGTTTGTCCGCTGGGGAAGTTAAAAAAGAAAAGAAAAAAAAAAAGAAAAAAGAAATAAATCAATAAAGACATTAAATGAATAATAGGAATGCACGTACGTAATCGCAAAGGTTTTTTACAATTTTTATTTTAAATGGTCAATCTCTTATTCTCTCTTTCTTATTCAACTGCATTAAAGGGACTTTATTTAGTAGCAAAGAAGACAGCTGGCGAGTGTCACGATGAATCACATTTGGTTCTCGGTACAAGTTCTTAGTAGAACACTATCGAGATAAATTCCAAGTCTGGCACGATGCCTTAAGATCTAATCTTGTCCTTTAGTAGTACTCTTTCTCTCTCTCTCTCTCTCTCTCTACTATGTACAAGAAGGATTCGTTCTTCATGTAGAGGTGCTTCATTAAATATAAACGAACTAACTATTCGAAGGACCTAAAAAAAAAAAAAAAAAGAACAAAGGAAATCTACGTAGTTACAACAAATGACGTTTAATAATTATCAAAATCGATATCGAAATAACCTATTTGATAAATTTGCATTTCGAGCAGCATGAAGGAGGAAGGTCGGAGGGAGGAGGAGATATTGAAGAAAAAAAGAAAAGATATAAAGTGACGAGTTTATTATTGCAATGAATTATAAATTTGTATTAATGCAGAGATAAAAAAAGTTTTTAATTGTCGATTGAATCGGTCGTATTCAATATACTTTGATAGGTACTACAAATATATAAAAACTACAACCCCTAAAGAGAGAGAGAGAGAGAGAGAGACAGAGAAAGAGATTGTTTTTGAGTACTCTTCTATCCACACACACACACACGATATTCTCTTTGAAGTCGTTGACATCCCGCTCGCTTGTAAACACAAGCATCGAGTGTCTCTTTATAATGACATACTTGGAGGTCGTCGTACACAATCTATTGAAGATCGTTATCGCGAACAGACGGGCTTAGGAATTTTTTGTTGTTGCTGTTTCCGTCTTTTTTTTCATCACCGTACATACATATATATACACGTACGTTCAAAATGATTATCCTTGATGGGTTCTCGCACACGATACCTAAGAGAGCACGCGAGATGAATATTAGAATTTTCTTGTCACTTCTACTCCTTCGCATCTTTTTTTCCCTCGCTTTTACATCACTTTTCTTTCTTCGTTCGAGCTTACGGCTCGTCTAGCGTAAATGGTAAGCTCTTTCATAAATTCATTTTATACGAACGAGTAATTCTTTCCCACGTTGAATAATAATAATAATAATGGTTGTTATTATTATTATATCGTAGCTTTCAAAGAGAATATTTATCGAATACGTTTCAATACATTTTAGTGAATAACGATGAACGAACAAAAGCAAAGAAAAATATTTTTACCATTTTTCTGCTTCTAGATTATTTTCTATTTTTCATAGAAAGCTACGTTAATTTACGTTTTTGTGTTGAGAATATAAAATAATTGGTTAAGGGGGAAAAACAGAGAGAGAGAGAGAGAGAGAGAGAGAGAAAGAAAGAAAAACAAAGATATACATTGTGTCGGCAAAATTTCGATAA